GAGAAGGAAGAAAGGTGAGGCAGAAAAGGAGGCGGAATGGAGGAAGCGGTAGCTGAGAGCAGAAGGGAACCAAGAGAGAAGGAAAGCAGGAGGTAGAAGGAGAAAGATGAAAAGAAGAGGGTGGGAGAGTGGGAGGAGGAGGGAGAAAGGTAAGTAGACACAGAGACAGAGGCATACCAATAAAGACAGACAGAGAGTAAAGAAGGGGTGCATACACTGCATAGGGAAGCAGCGAAGGGTTTCGAACTGCCTCAAAACCAAGTGCAACTGCCCACTACAAGAAGCAGCGAAGGGGTTCGAACTGCATGGTAAGGCCATACCATGCAGAAATCGCATGCTTGCTGCCATGGGAGCAGGAAAGAACTTGCACTGTGTTTATTTAGTGCCAAACACACACACACACACACACACACACACACACACACACACACACACACACAAGTCTGTCGGAAATCGCACACGCTGCGATGAGGAGCTTTGTCCACATGCCTCAAAACCAAGTGCAACTGCCCACTACAAGAAAAAAAGTCGTCGTGATTTCGTGATTGTATTTTCTTGTTGCCGATGCGCCATCACATGCGGCATCTCTTTGACTTGGCAGAAGGAAACGCAGAGCCCCTTCATCCTCCCCCCCATACAAAGGGAAAAGATAAAAACAGGAACTGAACACGGGGAAATGGAAAGACGAAAGAGCAAACAACAACAACAACAACAGAAAAGAAAAAAACAGTTTCTAAGATTGGCGATTGGTGCAGTCATGCAGTATTCATTTCCCACGTCTTCTCAGTACCTACCTACCCCCCAAAAGCTTCACATTCTTGCAAGAATTTGGAGTATGTTGATAGACAACATGCAGCCACTACCGTCGCAAAGACACCTATTCTGTCCATATAGATAACATGCAGGGGTTGGCCTATCGAATAGTGGTAGTGCTTGACCTACCAAATAGTCTCTCAAGTATTGGACTGCTAGCATAGCCTAACTGTGGTAGACCTATCGAATAGACTAAAGTCTAACCACAGTTGACCTATCGAATAGACTAAAGTCTAACAACAGTTGACCTATCGAATAGACTAAAGTCTAACCACAGTTGACCTATCGAATAGACTAAAGTCTGACCTATCGAATAGACTAAAGTCTAACTGTGGTTGACCTATCCAAGTCCTAAGTGATGGATTTATCGAATAGTCCAACAGTGGTTGACCAATTGAGTAGTCTGTGGTTGACCTGTCGAATAGTCTAACTCTGGTTGACATATGGAATAGTCTAAAACCGTGGTTAACCTATCGAACAGTCTGACCGTGGTTGACCTATCAAGTAGTGGACTTGTCAAATAGTCTAACAGTGGTTAACCTATCAAGTAGTGGACTTGTCAAATAGTCTAACAGTGGTTAACCTATCAAATAGTCTAACAGTGGTTGACCTATCGAATACTCTCACTGAGATTGACCTATCAAATAGTCTAACTGTGGTTGACCTATGGAATAGCCTAACCGTGGTTGACCTATCCAGCAATCCTAAGTAGTGGACTTATCGAGTAGTCTAACAGTGGTTGAGCTATGGAATAGTCTAAAACCGTCGTTAACCTATCGAACAGTCTGACCGTGGTTGACCTATCAAGTAGTGGACTTGTCAAATAGTCTAACAGTGGTTAACCTATCAAATAGTTTAACAGTGGTTGACCTATCGAATACTCTCACTGAGATTGACCTATCAAATATAAAAAAACTGCGGCTGACCTATGGAATAGCCTAACCGTGGTTGGCCTATCCAGCAATCCTAAGTAGTGGACTTATCGAGTAGTCTAACAGTGGTTGAGCTATCGAATAGTCTAAACTCTGGTTGACCTATCGAATATTCTAACTGTGGTTTGACCTCTGTGGTTTGACCTTTGGAATAGTCGAAAACCGCGGTTGACGTACCGAATAGCAATAAGTGGCGGAGTTATCTAATAGTCTCGGTAAATGGATAATTTATGTCCGTTGAAGTTCGATAGTACTTGCTGTGAAATTATGATTCCATGAGTTAATTCCTACTTAAGAGTGTGTGAGATAATCCGATGGCAAGCTTCATAAGATAAAGACGAAGTTGCTACGGTATATATACAACAGAAGGAAAAGGATCATTATTGATTCATTATCCAAACCTGTTGCTTGTTGATAAATGTCCCATGCGTGCTCCCAAGGTCGAAGACAAAAGCGGCGCCACCCTCTCGATACTGGATGACTGCAAACACCGGTGTTTGGCAAAAGGTACAGTTAGGTAAGTCATTTTGGGCAAAATGTTCTCACTCTCTGCCATTTCAATCGCCGTGTGAACTTTTTTCCCCAGTTCTTTTTTCAATGATTAGCAGCTCTTCCATATTATATATAAATCACTACTACGCCCCAAGATACATCTGGCAAGCAGGATTCTATCACCAGACATCTGCGATGATGCAGAGCAGCTCTTCCATAAACCACTACTATGCCCGAAGATGCATCTGACCTCATAAAACGCTACTTCAAATGTTCATCGTCTCCTCTCTCTCTCTCTCTCTCTCTCTCTCTCTCTCTCTCTCTCTCTCTCTCTCTCTCTCTCTCTCTCTCTCTCTCTC